AGAGCTGTGAAAATGTAAAATAGACTCCCCCCAGAAGCTAATTCTAGCTAGCTCAGTTAATAGTTTAAAAAAAATCTGGATGTATTCCTAAATGCACAGAATATTACTGGATATTGAGTTATTATAGGTATATTAAGCATCAGAGATTGTTGATCCAGGGAATATCCGATTGCCTTATGGGATCATGAAGGAATTTGTTTCCCCTGTTGGAGCAAATTGAACCATGCTTTATAGGGGTTTTTTGGTCTTCCTCTGGATTAACAGTGAGCAATTGGGGGCACATGGTTCTGTTTAGTCTTTTTTCTTATTTTTTTTCATTTCTCTATGGGTTGAACTCGATGGACATGTGTCTTTTTTTCAGCCTGACTAACTATGTAAGGACCTGACGGGTTACATCCGAGGGTACTAAAGTAACTTTGCCAGGTCATAGCCAGACCTTTGAACAGCATGTTTAAAGACTCTATAATGACAGGTATGGTCCTGGCTGATTGGAGGAGAGCAAATGTAGTACCAATATTCAAAAAGGGAAAAATGTGTGCACCAAATAACTACCAGCCTTTCAGCTTAACATCAATAGTGTGTAGAATATTTGAAGGCATGATACGGGACTACATGCAGGAAATTACAAATAAAACTGGTATCATAAGTGGTAACCAACATGGTTTCATGAAGGACCATTCTTGCCAGACCAATCTATTAACATTTTATGAGGAAGTAAGTACTAAATTAGACAAAGGAAAACCAGTATATGTGGCGTATCTGGACTTTGCTAAAGCATTCAACACAGTACCCCACAAATGTTTAATCCACAAACTACGGTCTATAGGTCTAGAGGAAATTGTATGTGCATGGGTAGAAAATTGGCTGCAAGAACGGACCCAAAGGGTAGTAATAAATGGTTCATTAGCTAATTGGGCAAGGGTTGGGAGTAGGTGCTCCAGGGTTCAGTCCTGGGACCGATCCTGTTCATCTTATTTATCCACGACATAGAGATTGGACTAAATAGCTCAATTAAATGCAATTTAATGTTGAAAATGTAAGATTATGCACATGAGAGCAAAGAGCATGTGAACAAACTACTACTTGGGGAGGTGACACTTCAGGGGAGTCAGACATAGAAAAAAACCTGGTGGTCCTCATTGACCGCAGATTTGGCAATAGTAAGCAATGCCAAGCAGCAGCCAGTACAGCTAACAGGATACTGGCATGTATTAAAAGATGAATTGTAGCAAGGCATCAAATAGTAATACTTCCACTTTACAAAATCATTGGTTCGGCCCCATCTTGAATATGTGGTACACTTCTGGTCACCGACTCTCAGGAGGGACGTCATGGAACTGGAGAGAGAGTTCAGAGGAGGGCTACAAAAATTAAATGAAGGGATAAAAGGCCTGAGTTATGTAGACCGCATTAAAAATCTATACTGATTCACCTTAGAAAATAGATAATTAAGAGGGGGCCTTATTGCAGTCTTCAAAATCATCAATGGAGACCCCAATAGTAGGAACACACTGTTTAATCCGAAAACTGTATTGGGAACCTGGGGACACAACAAGAGGTTAAACGATAGGGGGTTCAATCTTAGAATTCATAGGGGCAGGGGCGTACCTAGAAATCACAGGGCCCCATAGCAAAATTTTGTATGGGGCCCTGTGATTTCTAGTTACACCCACCTGATAACCCAAACAGCCCACCTAAGGGTGACCCTGCAGAGCCCACCATAGACTCTCTATGGTAGGCTCTGCAGGGTCTCAGGCGGGCGGTCAAGCCCTCTTACCTGTCAGCCCTGATCCTCTGTCTGCCTCCTTCTCCTCCACGATCGACTCCTCCGTCACTGGGCCCTGCCTCCTTGATCGGTGGGCCCCGCCCCTCGATCACCGGGCCCCGCCTCCTCGATCACTGCTGATGACGGGCCCAGCCACCTCCTGCGAAGCTGCTGGTTGTCACCAACTCAGCAGCGGCTGTGAGAAGGAACAGAGCGCTCCTCCTCACAGCCACCAGTGACAGCCAGCAGCCTGGCTGTCCGAGCAAGATGCCATAGCGACCCAGGCGGCCCGCATGGCATCAGGGAGATGTCCTGGCCAGGCCCCGCCATCCCTCAGGCCCCATAGCGGCCGCCTGGGTCGCTATGGTGATTGTTACGCCACTGCATAGGGGGTATTTCACTGTGGGAGTGATGAAAGTTTGAAACTCACTACCACAGGCAGTGGTATCTGCTGATAACACTGATACATTCAATAAACTTCTGGAAGAGTTTCTTCTTTCACAGAATAGGATATGGGAAGGGTTAGAGCAAGATAAATAAAGACATACTCACATACATAGCGAACAAGATGGAGCCTGGTCTTTATTCAACCTTACATACTATGTTACTAAATTACTATGTTACACCAATCCAAAATACCTAATTTGAATTACTGCATACAAAATAGACATACAAGCAAGTTCCAGAGATGGCAACAAGACTCACAAATTGGAATACTTAGGTGTGTAAATATCAGGATTTAGTAATGATTCTGTGAAACCTTTATTGAATTCCAGAACTAAATTATTATCATGTGAAAAATTCAAGCAATAGTCAAGTAGTAATGTTTTTATAATGTGTAAAAATTGCTAGTGCCCAAAAACCTGCTGTTAGGGAACCAAGAAACCAGACTGAAACTTAAAGTGCAGGTTTAAAATACAAAAGGAATTTATTTAAAACAACAATAAACATAAATAGCAAATAAAATAGAGAAAGTCCAGGACGTAGTCCGTGCCAAGCCAGGGGGTCAGATGCCAAAACGGGGTAGTCAGCCAAGCCAGGTCAGGGAGCACAGAGAGCAGGATCAATTAAAACAAAGCCGGAGTTAGGAACCAAGAGATCAGTCAGCCAGAGCCAGGATCATACGCAGAAATCAGGAACAGCAGCAGCACACTTGTTGATCAGAACAAACGCAAGGAGCGGAAACTGAATGGACATGATGAAAGTTAAATAGTGACCTGGCACCTGCATCATCACAACACACACCCTATGCCCAAAGAAGTACAGGAGCTTTGGTGGGGCATTTTGCCATGCGTTTCCATTGGTATGCCCAAGTGTGGATCGGGGTTAACAAAGCGGTAACCTCGAGCCACACTCGGGAATACAGCGTACAGGTCATACCTTGTCCGCGATCCCCGCTGTGTCCTCCGGCGGCTGCCGACTTGCGGGTTCCGTCCCTTGCGAGCAGCCGCGTCGCAGAGGGGCGGAGCCGGCGGGAAGTTTAAAAGTGAAAAAAATTAAAAATAGAGAAAATAAAGGAAAAAAAAAAACCAAAAATCATACCACCAGTGAAACACGCGTTTCACTGAACGGAAAAAAGCGCTAAAAAACACGCTAAAATATGCGAAAAAACTAGCTGAAAAAATACGCTCAGGTGTGAACCCAGCCTTAGTGTCAAACATGCTGACAAGCCATTCTAAGCCAAGTGGATGAGGAAGGGTAAGAAACCCTGAGAGCTGTATAGTTGAGTAATTCATAAACCATCTCTGGCAACTGCCTATTTTGCGGGGAATTGGGATCGAACAGGCTTTTCCTCAGAATACTACCAACTGGTAGTACTTACAAATTCCTGTCCTTATAGGGAAAAAACTGTCACCCAAGCCAGATACTTATGTCATCTCATGCCTATAGATGCTTTAAGACCTGCGGTATATCCAATAGCTACTTTGTCGACAAACCTGCCATATCTCACTAGTATTATCTAAGATAATTAAATCTGAAGGAAATGTATTTATGTCCTCACTATTTTATATGTGATAGACACATAATAATGTATGAAATGACAAGATGATATTGAAAAGATCAATTGACTCAATCTTAAGCCCCAACAGAGGAGATATTCTATATTAAAATACCTACTTTCTATAATTTTTTCGTTGGAGTGATTATCGTTTTGGACATTGCATTTGCACTGTTTGTTTTTTGACCTTGACAATAAATAAATTTCTTCATTGATAAAGCTGCTGGCCTTTCTGCTTCATTGCATCGATGCAGTAAAACTCTGTCAGAAGCATTTGATAGAAAAGGCATTAGGATACTGTCACTGCTAGCATGACAGAATTCATGTTCTTCTGAGGTCATCCTGTGCCAAAATTCTCAATTTCTTTTTGTCTGACAGAGATAAAATTATGCTTTTGTTGCATTTATTCTTCTGAAATATTTTTTTTTACCTAGCAGTTTATTTAGGTTGTGTTTTCCCCAAAACAATTACTATAAAAAGTGAGAAACATCTTTTTAAAGCTGAAGAGAAAAAAAACAGACTGAGACAGGCAGACTGTGCACAGGTCATGGAAACGCTTATCACTGCCACAACAGTAAAATTAGGCAAAAGTGCCCTGATGAAGAAGGTATACTACTTATAATATTTTCTTGTTCAGGCTCTGCACAGGGCTGGTACATTTTAGACTCCTCCAGACATTGAGGGGGAGGTGATAGATGTCAATGATTGTCCACAGTCCCTATCTTCTGCCTCCACTTTTACTGTGCCCCTAGTTCCTCCCAGGTAATGTGACATTGCTGAAGCGCTTGGGAGTGCACTTGCAGGCCGGGATGCTATGACAAGTAAACACATAACCAAAAGTATATCCTTTTACTCCCATGACAGGTACTCTTGCCCAGTATACCAGGGCTATAAACTGAGATTATAATAAAAGGCTACAGTGTTACACCTGCTGAGAGGGAGAGAGTGGGGTCAGCAGGTCAAACACAGAGAATTATAGTGCATTGAAAGCAGACTGAATTAACAGCTCAAGGACTGTATGGTTTGGAACCAAGACAAGCTTGTTTAAGCAGTATTTTCTATGCTTCTAAGCCAGATTTACAAACTCTACATCAACGTGGAATCTTTAGGTTGTTAAAATTCTTTGTAGACAATTATAAAAAGGTATTTTTACTGCAACACTCCTATAACATTCAGGAGACCAACATGAGAGTTGGAAAGCTTTACCAAAGTTGTTAGAACAAAATAGTAACTGACCTCATTAATGAAGTTCTGTGCTCCTCTTGGACTTAGAAGCAATATCGCCCTTCGTAAGGTGTCACGGTAGCGGTTCAACTCCTCGGTTTTCATAGAGGTAAAGAGGCTGGCAAAAACTCTGCTGATGTTTCTGTCTACTTTCTGCAATGATACATCTAGACCTAATCTTGATGCCTGGTCCAGAAAGCCCTGCAGTCCGCGGATATCTAAAACACATAACATTTCAAATTTATTTTCAATTTAGAGTTATGTAGATAAAAAGATTCTGTTACATATTCAAAAATACTTAACTGACATAATTACCAACTCATAGTTGTCATTTTAAACTGTCAGTTAGAAGGTAGGCATTTGATCATTAGGAAATGAACAGAACAGAAAGTTGTTTACAGAATTACATACATAAAACGGCACTTTATAATCAACATTACTGTAGGTCTACAGGTTTCTTAGTGTGAACTTTGTACTCTGTTGTATATTCACTAGAGCCTCTAATTGCCAGAAAAGTCTGTTCTGATATAAGGCCGGACTCAGCATGACTTCGTGTCTATGCCCTACCGACTTCTGTTCTCCTGTCTTTCCTGGCCACCAAAGCATTCTTAATGGACAGTGGAATGGCAGTTGGCAGCAATTAGCCATGAAATCAGGGAAGGTCAGGCCCCAGTATCAAAGTAAACCTAAATCAGAGGGCTATAAGTGGCTTCCCTGCTAATACATTGAGCAGTAGGCATCTTGTATTGTCTTATCTTAAGAAGTACACTTGTATAAAGGCTCTACTTTGTTCACAACTAACATTTTACTGGAGATTTGCACCACCTGAAAACTTCCTTGACGGCTTCCAATATCACTTAAACTTTAAACAGATTTCCCAATTATATTTTGTACTTCCATCCCTTTCCATAAAAGCCATCATGAAGTATCACACTCTTTCAACTGGAAAATGTTGGTACCATAAGCCGTTTCATAGATTATAGAAATCCTAGTTTCTGATGTGTGACCAGAAACTTACAGTGAGCAAACTGTGAACACAAAATAAGAAACAAAATCCTAACATCAACTGTCAGATACAGCAATCAACCAATAGTGCAACTAATAAAACAAGAAAAATTATCAGACAATATCAAGGGTATAAAAGAGTTTTACAAGTGCAGGGCACAGGCATTATGCAGGGCTGTATAAAATAAAATAGAAAATAGAAACTAACAGGGCAAAGCAAGGCTTGGACTGGATTAGGTTAGCAGCATGGTACCCAGAGGGCCAGAACAGCATAGGAAGCCACAATCTAAAAGTCAAGTTGTCCAACTAAAGGAAAGGAGGAGATATGACATCACCCACCAGCCAGACAGAAGTATTGTCCAATACAATTATTCTGCCAGGTATAAGGAGAAACCTGCAAGAGGCCAGTAGACAAATGGCCAGATGCTGAAGTGCAGTGCAAAGAAACAAAGAAATGGCATACAACAACATTTATTACATTCTACAGTGAAGAATTCTGTAAAACAGGCAAAACCTGTAGTGGACTTGTGTTAAACTTATAGAAGAATTCTCATAAGTAAATAAAAAGATGTGCTACAAGGACCATAAGGTGATGAAAAAATAATTAGGTAAATATTAGCTTTGTACTACAAAAAGCGCCTCTTTCAATGGTGTCCTTTATGCCCAACCTGTGGTTCTGTGGCACTTATCAGGCAGCTGCCAGAGTACTTGCAGAGTACTTACCTTGGTACACCACTCAGGCTAGTAAAAAAAAAATATTCTTTAAGGTGCCCATACATAGGCGAATTTTGGCTGGTTTTTAATGTACCGGCCTAAATTCACACAGTGTGTGGGGCTGTCTGTTCTCTTTCAGCCAGAATTGCTCAATCAGCTGATCAAAGGAGCCATCTGTAAAATCTTTGTACGATCAGAGCCGGCAACCAATGAGCTGCCCGCTCTGAACGGGTATTCTGACAGGTGTCGGCGCCACCTGTCAGGATACAATCCAAACAGTGACAATACCTCGATCGACGCGCTGTTTGTGTCGACGGAGGAATCGGGCCAATTTTTTTTTTTTGTACAGCCCGCGGGATAAACAAAAAAAATTGATAGTCGTATGGCCAGCCTTAGACTGGCTTCTAGTAGTCAAATGGTTTGTTTTTCCTCTTTTACACTAACTTACTTGTTTGGGTTGTTCTTCCCTTTTTCTTTTTTTATGATTTTTTTTTTACTCTGGTCCTTTATAATGGATCTTGCTGTGGCACATGTAATTTTAAAGTCATGTAGGGAGTATACATGTGGAAGCATAGATTGGGATGAGCAACCATATACATATCTAATACCTCCATTCAAAAAATAGGGTATGCGGCAGGTTATTCTGAGGTTTGACGCGTTTCGTACCAAATGGCTTCTTCAGGAACCTCACTTACGTATCTATGGATTAACATATTGTGTATTATTATCTCAATTTTTTAAAACAATGGCTCATTTGCAGCCAATCCTTGCTTGTCTTTATCAGTTACACGGATGTGGTGCCAACCACTTACCTCACACCTCCCTACCTACTGCTATACCAAGTGTTTACTGACATGGCTTGCATCCCAGATTGGATGACCTTATCAATATTCACACTGTTGTATTCCTTTATTTCTCCTGACTAACTTGATTGAGTCTCATCTCAACTTATTCTGCCACTGAATGCTTGAGTGCTAATTCCTTATGACAGTGCATGGCTGTTTACCTAAGCCAGCAGTTACAGAACTATTGCTGTTGTTGCCTACTGTCTCAGCACACAAGATATTTGAGACACTGGGATCTCTTTTTCTGCTGTGTCAGCTGAAACTTCAACACTTGCTTGTTCTTCTGAAACTGGGAGGAAGCTCCTATCTTAAGATGGTACCCCTGGACTATTTAACCCACCCAATAGGAGGTGATTGCAAACGTTGTGACTGCAGTTTCAATTCTCTTTTTGCAGTTTATTGAGGGTATGGGCTTCAAATCCTTATAGTTGTTTTCTGTTTCTGAAACAGCAGGGTAGTTGGCTTGGAAACAAACAGTTTAATTTTGTTTAGTGTTCTTATTGCTGGGCTTAATTTCATGCCCATACTATTTCAGTGTATTAGCATTTTCCCTTACCAGTTTAGATAACAAGACTTGATATGGCTTCAAGTACCCCCATTTCCCCAATACATCCATATCACCCTTACAATTCTCTCCTGGAGTGACAGCTGATTAAACTAAAAATTTAAAAACACAAAATTTACTGTAAAACATACAATTGGCCACCTCCCCTCAGTGTTCAACTACCCTACAAGATAAAAAAAATATAATTTGCAGCCACTGAATTTGGTTATTATAGATTAATTTAACTTCCTTTTAGATCCAGATATAAACAAACAAACCCTACTAGATTCTTCTCAACTAAACTGAAAAATCGGGCTGAGATGATGGCTCTCAAATAGGCCTGGAGTTGGAAGCATACTATTACTACTTTTTTGCTCTTGCTTCTCTTTAACTCATAAAACATCCTCTATGATTGATCTAGTCTTTTGCAGTGGCGATGTTTCGAGCAGAATATTAGTGGTTGAGTATATTCGTAAAAGACTATCTGATAATGTAGCCCTGGAATCTACCATATCCCTTGGGAGGAGGGCAACTAATGGCATTCAGAGACTCGATCCATGCTGTGTACAGGATCCTGATGTGAAGTCATTGTACCATGTGCTACTACCCATTGGGAGGTGAATGTAGACACTGCAGTTACACAGGAAGCCTAGAACACCTTAAAAGGTGGAACTTAGCTTCAGGGCAACCATCAGGAGCTATATAAATCTGCAATAAAAGCCTGCAGAGCAAACCAAAGTAGAGAGCTTTGCAATCTGGAAGAGATGTAAAGCGCTAAAGCCCATGAATATGTTGTCTCTCCTTGTGACTAAACTTTTCAGTCCCTTTCAAAAGCACACCGAGAGCTGACACTTCACATAATGGATCTTGTGCACACACCGTGCAATTCACAGGTCACTTCCTTTGAAAACGCAGACAAAAATAAAAAGTTATTAGCCCATCCAGCATATCCCGTGCATTAGAACCCCAATTGGTTCACTTGAAACAGATGAAAATGATGTAATGCAAACATTTGTCCAATATTATTATACATTGTATTCTCTCATACCTGCATACACACAAACCTGGAACAATCCCTAGCAGACCTACCCCATCCACTCACACTGAAAATGATGGGCAACAAGTTGATTCTTATATCATCCTGGAAGAGGTGGAGAAAGCCTTAGGGTCCTTCCCAAATGAAAAACCCAGTGGGCCAGGCGGCTTCCCAGTGGAATGGTAGTGACAATATTGTGATGAAACAGCTCCCAAATTGACACATTATTATATTACACTTCTAGGACATCTGATAAACTACTCATCACCATGTATGATGCCTACGTTACCATCCAACATAAAAGCAAGCAAGGACCCCCTGTTGTGTTTCTCTTAAAGGCAGATCTCCTTACTAAATATACATTTAAAAATCCTTACTAAAATCTTAGAACATGAACGTTATTGATACCTTAATTACCATAGCTCAAACGATCTTTATTCCACACAAAGCCATGGCTATTAACATATGCAAACTCTCAATCTAAAGGGGCATGCATAGTAGCAACACCTGATATAGAAATGTCATTTGATTCAGTGGACTGGGGGTACAACAGGTCCTGTTAAGAACGGGCTTAAAGGTGGCCATACATTGATAGATTTTTGCTCGGAAATCGTACACAAGCGATCTTGCGAACACAGATAAAACAGTTGATGGTACAGCACTGATTTTAATTTCTGCTAATGTAAAAACACATTTTTACGTACGGTCAGGTTGGAAAATTTTCCTCTGACTGAACGAAATTTGATGAATGAATGTGGTTTTCATTCGTCCAAAATCTCCCTCAGAACACAGCGTATGTGCAAAAGGAAAGCTGCCTTGGTCAACCAAATACTTCCTCTGCAAAGGAATATTTCGGTAGTTTGTCAAAAATTGGTTGGTTAGTATGGCTAAGAAACAACTTCCCAAATCAACATTTTACTATGCTTGATGGGGAATTATAGGTATAATTGAATGAGCGTTTGTGGCGAAAATCTAACAATGCATGGTCACCCTTAAACAAAACTTGCTGGCTTAAACAAATCATTTGTATATCAGGGACACAATTATCAATGAGGTTCTGGCTGGTTGACCGTG